TTTATAATTAAAAATGACATCTTGTTTCAGTTGTTGAATACCCCAAACGTTTTAGAGGTTAATGGTTGAATTAGAAGAAGAAAATCAGTTCAAAGAAAGAATCATCACTGTGAAATTCCTTAGATAATACTTATTAATTATAAGAAATGTATGATAAACGAATACTGGTGTCAAATGAATTTAAGTGCCTTTTTAAGTTGTAAATCATCAACACTATACCAGTCTATTGTATAGAATTGACTTTTATGTATGGTACAATAGTGAATTGAAGTATAGTGTGTATCTGTATGTCTACCTTTCGATGTAAAGAAATACAAAATTTGAAATCTGAACCCATGCAGCCAGGTAAAAAAACCCCATCACAGATCGTACTACCTACACATACAGAATGTATCTAGTTACTGTTTCTATACAGGTAAGGTCACCTATGGGCGACTTTTATGTTGGTGTTTACTAGTTGCTAGACCGCGTGATGTGCTTGGTATTTGTTTACGTAAACATTTCTGTTTTCATGACTTCCTTTGTCAACACTACTACCACTAAATGGAAGGAGATTCCTATGTCATGAACTGTCTTATATTTACTGTGCTGTAAAGTGTGAAACTATAAACGGATTTAGACCATAACTTTAGTTACACCGCACACCGTTCTGTTCAACACAACTGGTCTCTGTAAAACACACTCCCTTCATTTTCTTCTCCGTGCTGATATTGTTGTTCCTCGTTCCCCTCGTCCCCTCCTTCCTCCTCCTCGTCATCCTCGTCCTTCCTTCCTCCTCCCTCCCTCCTCCTCCTCCTCCTATTGATACTTTTCTTTTTCGCACATGCTATTTCGCATGTCATTTCACCATGCCCTTTCTTCACTTGCTCATTTCTTTCCCTTTCTGATCTTTCTCCTTCTCCTTCCTTCCTTCCTCTGCCCTTGTGCCCCTCCCTTGCTCTATCTGATTTTGCTCTTTCTCCTTCCGGTCTCCATCGCTTGCTCATGCCTTGCTTCTTTATCTTGATCCTTTCATTCATCACTCCCTCCTCACTTGCTTATGCATTGCTCTTTCTGATTCTTCTCCTTTCCCTGTTTTTTCTGTTCTTGCTTGTCCCTTGCATATTTTAATATTGATCCTTCTCTTGTCTTTTTTCTTCCTCAGTTGCTTATTCCTTGCGCCTCCAAACTCGCTCCTTCACCTTTCTCTGTTCTTTCTTTTCTTGCTCATTTCCAGCTCTTTTTTATCTTTATATTCTTTAAACTCTTTTCTCCTTCCCATGTTGTTTCTTCATATGCTCCTCTTCGCCTCTTATGTTCTAGTTTCTTGTTTGAATATCGATTTTGTAGTATGTAATAATAACAATTTATTTAGTCTAAAATGCTGAGTCGTGCTTGGATTTTACGACATCATTTCTAAATATTATTAAATATCAACAACGTATAGAATTCATTGAAATGTGAGACGACATGCCGTCAGCGTCGATTAAATCAACATTCATTCGTTATTTCAGGAGTTACACCCACTATAACCGGCTTTCAATAAAGTGAAAAGAGAGGCACACAATGATTTCTGTGGATAAGATCTTTGTATTTTATCTCAATTGGAATCACAAGTTTGTAGGCCGACTATCGTGCTTACAAGAGGTGTATTCCGTGTTTCCCTGTCGGGGGGGGGGGGGGGGGGGGGGGGGGGCATTATTACATGCTTTTGTAATTTAAATATTGTGGTCTATGGTCTATATATCAGACTGTGAGAGGCATTACCTCATAGCATACCAATCTCATAGAGATGAGATATGTTCAAAACAGGAAAACGACACCCCATAATGTAATGTGATCATGACTAAGGGTTTTGTTGACCCCCTACCCTGGGAAGGGGCTGCGTCAATTCATAGCACATCGTCGATTCACAGGGTAGAGTATACCACAGTGTCAATAAACAATTAACATTGGTAAACTACCACAGCGTCAATGCACACGGGTAAAGTAAAGCACAGCGTCAATTCACATGGAAAAAAGGTCAATTCACATTAGATAAATTGTCAATTCACATAGATAATGTGTCAATTCACATAGATAAAGTGTCAATTCACATAGAAAATGTGTCAATTCACATAGATAAAGTGTCAATTCACAGAGATAGTGTCGATTCACATAGATAAAGAGTCAATTTATATATATAAAGTGTCAATTCATATAGATACATGTCAATTCACATAGATAAAGTGTCAATTCACAGAGATAGTGTCGATTCTCATAGATAAAGTGTCAATTCACATAGAAAATGTGTCAATTCACATAGATAAAGTGTCAATTCACAGAGATAATGTGTCAATTCACATAGATTAAGTGTCAATTCACATAGAAAATGTGTCAATTCACATAGATAATGTGTCAATTCACATAGATAAAGTGTCAATTCACATAGAAAATGTGTCAATTCACATAGATAAAGTGTCAATTCACAGAGATAGTGTCGATTCACATAGATAAAGAGTCAATTTACATATATAAAGTGTCAATTCATATATATACATGTCAATTCACATAGATAAAGTGTCAATTCACAGAGATAGTGTCGATTCTCATAGACAAAGAGTCAATTTATATATATAAAGTGTCAATTCATATAGATACATGTCAATTCACATAGATAAAGTGTCAATTTACAGATATAAAGAATACCACAGCGACAATTTACAAGGGCAGAATTAGAACTTATACTCATGACAGGAACGGAGAAAGACACGGTTGCGGAGACATTCGTTACAAACATGCTGGGATTGTCCATAAACTTGTGGAACGTCACCTTCCTTTGTCTGGGTGTATATTAGGTTCTCCCTACCCTTTGAGCACAAGTGGTTCTTTTCTTCCTGGTTTTCGATTGTATTCATACGTAGCTGCCTTCCGTGACGTGCTGTTTTCATTCCAGACGGACACCGGAACCTAATAGTCTATAACGGGATGAGTGACCCTACGAACATTATGACCGCTACACACACCCGTACCTGTGTACGCATTCAGGACGCCGGATGGTTGACCTCCTGTATTAACCTTATGATACATGTAAAACATCGGTCAGCCATTCTGAACGACTGTACGACACACAGCAGTGTACATGCTATGGAGAAATCGAAATCAACAAAAACGAATTTCATTTAAGTCAAAATCGATAAAGCTAAGACGGAAGCAAATGGGGGAATAACTTCTAGGAGACCCTAGAAAAAAGTACATGGAGAATAAGTCTCACGCTCAAACACTGTCATATGATGTGTGTTAAGCTCAATATCTCGTTCCTATGATATATATCTGATTGTGGAAATTCTTTTGAGAGCCTTTAATTCGAATACAGTTTTTCAATGTCCAAACTTTTTGACCGTGTAACATGGTTAAAATGAGTTGCGAGAGAGTTCGCTTGAGCACAGATTCGATGCCATTGCCAAGTGACAGCGGATCAACTTTCTTCAATACCCTTTAAGCAGAAGATACTTTAAAACAACCTATTACGTAGGGGCCCCTAATTAGTCGCCTCTCATAACAGGTAGTGGAATACATCAGGCATATTCTTTCCCTAAAACTGCAGGGGATGATATACGTATAGCAACAGAGCAGAAACACAACACGTAGGACCAATGGCGGGGATTGACAAGTAGGAAACCGTGAGAAAGGATATCGTTAGAAGGGAGAAACAAGACATTGATTACATGACAACGGGCGACATGAAAGACAGAAAGTAAAGGATACAATTAGCATTAAGAAAAAAACACAATCGTGTACTTTTTATGGAGAAGATATCTTTATCATGGTTAGCAACAATTCAAGATTATTTGACGAGCAAAATGTTTTCCTATCTGTTAACACTGATACGTATGGGTTCAAAGAGTCACCAAGCCAGAACGAGTTGCGCGTTAATCATGCATAACACCTCCTAGCGCAATAACACTCCGCCTACCCTTCGTAACATCATGAGCCGTACAACCAGTACCCGGCCAATCCCCAATGGTCAATCATGCGGTGTGACCTAGTAGCGAAAACAATGAGTTGATGACACGAGGCATTTCATACCTGCAATTTGTTTTACCAGAATAACAGAGCGACACTGTTACAAAAACCACATCAGACCGTTCAACTATTCACTCTCTGTCTAAATGCTTAATATGTTATGCCAAAAAAGAAAACATATTTCTTCTCTTTATACTTTCAATGAAAGACATTTTAGAACCGAACTCAATCTTATTTTTAACAAAGATAAATCTATATTCAAAGCGTTTAACTTGATTTTCTTTTATCCTGAAATCATACCAGAACCCTAAACTACACCAGATGTGTTCCTACTAAAGTTACCTAGAGTTGTGAGTTTATATTCCTCTGCAGGTAACTTATCCGTTTTGATATAGCTTCATCATACAAGTAATGCTAAATTTGATATCTTTATTCTACTATAAAGTGTGACCCCTCCGTTTGATATATCATTAGCAAATGTTTATGTCGCCGTAAATGCGTTTGAATTATTGTTTTCATGATACATTAACACAATTTTAAACATTCCATTCGTTTTAGCATATAACATATCATCGTAGACAGTTATATCAATCATTCTTTCTAGTATAAAATCTGTGTTGTCGACCTAACAAACGTATGTAGTAAATTGCTTAGGGCTGAATATAATTCAGTAAAACTCCCATTATTTGTAATAAAATAAAATTTGAATATCTGACTGTCTATCCAGTACTTCACATGTGTTCTACACAAAGAAACAACATGATGTACGTCTGTACGTCCATGTTGTGTTATGACCAAGACTAGCCGTTAAAAGGTCTGTGACCAGCATATTGATCTTGTCTTGACTATAGACATCTATAGCGCAATGCTAAACGTAATTGTCTTATTTGTTTTAAAATTGTTTGCTTAATTAAATGTCCTAGTATAATGAATAACACAAATAAAACATAAAAAAATGTACAAAGCAATTTTTTGAACCTACCGTTTGGTTAGATTTAAATAAAAATTTCTCTTACCTCTTTGGACGCCATGTTTGTAGTCCTGTATTGAGTATCAGTCCCTGTCGGCAGTACTTCAGCGGTGTCACTGGGCGGTACAGCTATGTTTAGTTTCTCGCGAGAACATTCAGGGTATATACACCTACTGTAAATGCATGAAGTCACAAACAAAGTATGTTTTTAAATTCTCTCACATGGAAATGATTACACTATATATCTGATGTAGGATTATTTTCCCTCATTTTAACATTATTCAGGTCATATTCAGAGTTTGATACAAGTACATAAATGACATGTTCCTCATGGGCGAAATTTACCTGGGGACGTGACGTACTTTTAGTTAAATCTTGAGAAAATAATCAGGTATTGTGAATACGTTAGTTAGATAATACCGCACAATGGGATAATTATTAGGGCTTAAATGTTCATGATTTTGAAATAAAAATAGACAATTAAATTGACAAGGATTATAATTTCGCAGTCTAGACATTTGAAGGAACTAAATTTTCGCGGTGTTTTAGCACAGAGACGGGACACTTGGCATATAAAGTGTCAAGCAGGCAAATGAATACGCTTTATTATAATAAAATCATCAACAAAACTATTACATGTGTGATATAAACTATTTTTAACCATCTTGTATCATTCTTGATGGAAATGAATCGTTACAACCACGTGATCATGAGACGTTACATACGGCTATGAAGTTTATTATCCTGGATCTTTTTTTACTCTTGTCATCTTATTATGCGGATTTAAGTTTCGAGATCACGTTATTGACCCGCGAAATCGCGAAAATATCATCCCCGTGGAAATATCTTGCTATAACAGGATACATCATTGTTTCGTACAAAATGAATATTTACATTATTTTATTCATTAAATGCATTTTGTTTTAAAATCAACTTTATTATTGACACCTTGTACATACATTTATATACTGTGTTTCGATCAGCAACTTCAAAATAATATTACATATTACATATTTTACTTACCTTTTAAGGTTAACATTAGTTCCCTCGTTTAACACTGTATCGGACTTGCTTTTCTATTGTTTCATTATTTAAATTTAATTTCCTTTTAATTTAGTAAATTCGGGAAAACGCAACATATGAAAATAATAATTTTAACTGTTGAACCTATAATTCACCTCAGTAAAGAATCATGTCTCCCTATGAGAAATAAAGTTTTCAGGAATTACGTGAACTACAGATCATAACAACATGTAGTATTTAGAATTTAATTTATCTAAGATGACATTTATATTTTCAGTTTTAATTTAACGTATTATGTTAGGTCGTATGACAAAGGGATAGGGCACAGTTTACATGGGCAGTATAGACGTAGTTTCCCTGAAAACGGATGTGTTATTATTGCCAACGTGACGTACTGGGGTTATGTGGTTAATATAAGGTGGGGATATTGACCGACCAAAAACAACGTTACAGCTACCTTAACAGACATTCATTGTTATTCATGATGTTTTCCAACGGTAATATGGTAAAACAATCAAAAGATATGTAAATACAAATACTTCAAAAAGTAGATAACCTTTAATAATATCTTTCTTTATTAGTGTTAACAAATCCGTACCAGTCTTACTCGTCCCACATTTCAGTGAAAACGTGATCTGACTAAGTCGTTTGAACACGTTCTCATACAATGACAACTTCACAGAATGCTTCTGATACAGGTACAGTAGAGTTGAATCGCTGACCTTGACGTGTGGTAGATATATCATTGGTCACCTCAGTAACACCAGTATAAAATGGCGTGGAGTGTCACACTGTAACACTTACCTATTGTGTGTGTGTGTGTGTGTGTGAAAGGTATTGAGTGTATTTACTGTGAAGTGAAAAGTGGGTCATACATTGTACTGACGTATTGGTCTAGGACCCTGTAATAAGATTCTGAGGGGAACACTAAAAGGTATGACCCTGGGAACGTTTATACCTGTCGACTGTTGTTAACAAAATCAAGTACGGTATCACGCTTAAATCTCGTGGGGGAAACTTTTCGCGGAGTTGTTGAATGAGCGTTGCTATTATTCATAATATTATTATTTTGTCAGTGGGGACAGCACTCAGGAGAGGATGTTAATTTTGTTGTTTATTACTTTTGTTTTCAAGCCGCTTATCATAGAATCAAGGCTGTACTCCATTGTAATAATGTCCAAAACATAAACGCTATATAGTAACATTTTACGTACATCATGTACTTTATATAGAACTGAACTCCATATGGCTGACATCAAAACGCCATAAAGTGACCTTATTGTCTTTGTTGTGTACTTAAAAGGAATAAAATGTATTAAAGAAATAAAATCGGTGATAAGAGTTAATATAGTTGTTCTCAAAATTGTTTGTGTGGCCATTCCGTCTTTGCGTATTGCAGAGTTATCTTCTCTTGAGAGCAGGTATTGATTGTTACGTCATTGGTTCGTGTGTGAAAATTACGTCGTTTTCTCAAAAATTGATGACGTTACTCTCACAAACAAGTGACGTAACAATCAATACCAGCTCCCAAGAGAAGATAACTCTGCAATACGCAAAGACGGAATATATTTACATGTATCACATGAATATCGTATTATTTCCACTAATGTCCTTTATTGTTTGCATTTTATTTCATGTAATAAGAATCTTCCATTTCATGTGTATTGTCCAAAAGCAAACTCACTTCGTTTCCAATCATCTTTTTTTTTATATTCCTTGTACAGATGATGTTATTATAGAATACGCGGTGGTTTACACATCAGTGAAGGTGTAGTGTTGCTTTAAAATCTATATAAAACGTTCACTGTTGGTGTAGTGAGGTGTCGCATATCTCGGGTCATCAAAAGTAGTTCTCGTTCTTGATAAATTTAATTATTTTTTTACCTTTTGCAAAAGAAACACGATAAGGGGAAAAGTCATTTACATCTATATATATAGCTCCGACCTGATTTATTTTTATAAAAGGATCTGTCATTTAAATTGTTAAGTAACAGTGTATTTTTTTAGAACCACTATAGAACAAGTATAACTGTTGTTTTTTGCATGTTACATATCTGATTTCACATTGTTTGAGCGACATCGACCATGGTTTGTGGCTGTATGGGTGGGCTCTCACCTGTTACAGCGAATAACATACTTGAAAATTAGAATGTTAAGGTCAATCCTTGACTCGTTAATCAAAGGCCTTGGTATTGTATTAAATACATATAATTCATTTCAATGGTTTATAAAAAATTTTTAGGTGTTAATGTGTATGTTCATGGACGTTCTTTAATATGCATCTTTAAATGAAGGGAACGTTCTCTTACGATTCATTGTATACGAATGTCATCGGGAAAAGTAGCATATTTCTTAGAATTGTGCATTAGTACACTATAGCATTTCAGTTTTATGAAGTCATTTATTTTGTTATGGATTTGTATTCGATGATTTCATGGATACTCTCAATACGTCAATTTTACATACAATTGTTTGCTTTGGTTAAATAGGGGATGAATTCATATCAACAGCAAATGTAATTTAAAAACGTGCCTCAAGGTGTATTGTGTATGCGTGCATGTGTTTGGAACTTCATGGTAATGTCCGGACTCCGGGAGCTAGGCTTGGATAACTATAGCACAGGTATAGGAATAGTTAAATTTTACTTAAGGACGCTAAGGTCCGTGGCTTGGATTTTTTTATTGAAAATTGGAAAAGGGCACCTAATCGTCCCGGAGACAAAAATTGTATTTCTGGAGGTAACAAACTACGTACGTACAGATTATTTAAGCTTAATTATGAGGTAGAAAATTATAATCTGTTAGTAATGCCTAAATCACATCGTAGTGCGCTAGTTAAGTTTAGGTGTGGGGTAGCATCGATACGCATCGAACAGGCCGGTATGAGAGAATACCTTTGAGTGAAAGAAAGTGTTTCGCGTGTAAAAGCGTGGTAGAAACAGAGAGTCTTGATTTAATGTAACTTTAATAATGATCACCGATCGGGTCTATTGCAGGAGGCCAGTAATATCACAAGGGATTTTTACGATATGAGTAAAGATGAAAAGTTAGTTGTAATTCTAAGCAACCCTTAAATGACGAGGTCCTGTGCCAAAACACGTGTTAATATTCTTAATCGACGTCGCATCTTGCTCTATAATTAAGCAGTAATGTGTCTTTTAATGTCAATTATTTTTATATTTTTATATTGGCAAAACTTTTAATTCATTATTATGTACATTTATGTAATGCTTTAACAGTCTAGTATGATAGGGGAGATTGAGTGTCTCGTAAGTCTAATATATATTTAACAGATCAATGTGAATGTTTCATATATAATTATATTCAAAATGGACAATCAAAAGGTGATTGTTATGCGAACAGTTAATGAATATTCGAATTAGCCAAATAGTAAACAGAATATGTTTATTTAATCTACCGTGAATATATAAGGTTATTGCTCATTAAAATACTTATAAAACTGGATAAGTCTAAGAAGGCTACCACGAGTTTTTGTTTACAAAAATGCTTACTTCCGGTTAATGACTTGGAGGGTTGCGTTGGTATACTCTACTTCCGCCCGAAGGGATTAGCATACCTGACCCATACTACTTACCCTGACTATCATATCATAAAAATGTATGTCTTGACCTTGTTTGTGCTTGGAAACACTTTCCCATATTGATTTGTAGATTATTTCGACAGAATAAGTTGACTGTGTTAATCTTCAGTTTTTCCCGGATACACAAGGGCGATAACTCTTATTGTACCTTATCAGCTATTTCACTGAATATATTATTTAGTCAAAAGTAATTTAAAAGATGGATAATAACTGTGATGTCTGGTTTTTTCAAAGACATAGAGAAAATGAAACAATTATGACAAAACTTTGATCAAATACAAAAATATAGTAATACGATTTAAGAACAAATGTTAAATTCTTGTAACATAGTAAATCTACCATATAGAATGTGTATATACAAAAATAGCAATTTCTAATAAAAGCAATTCTAAGTGTAATCCTCAGAATATAAACTTTTTCATATTTTTTTAATAATAAAAAATAATACAAAACTTAGAAAAAAATATATTAAACATTCTTACCTGAATTTGAAGATCAAACAGCAAAAGTTGACGTTGCTAAATTATTGATGCCAAGGCATAGACTGAATCCAAGCCCGTGACACCCGTACTTATAAATGATCTCTATGTCCGCTCGTCCAATCAGATACCCCAATTAGGGATTAGTGCACACAACTCAGAAAACGCATGAGCGTTTGTTGGCGTGCCTAACACCTGATCAGCGTGTCATGTTGGTAAACAACGCGACTTGAATAACTCGTTTCTTTGTGTGGTCAAGCCGACTAATTGCCCGCATTATTATATAATTAGCGTATGTCACTTGCATGTTCGGGGACTTAAAATAATTGTCTGTAATTCAATAGTGATTTGTCAAGATTTCCAAAATCAGCTACACATGTTTAATTTTCTTTTCATGTGAAGTTTTACGAAAAACTATTTAGTTAATGATTTCTCTGATAGGCTTCAGGCTCCGGTCTTAACACATGTTTGTTTTACACAGGTATTTATATGCATATCTAATTCTTCTGACTAAATTTCTCAGTTTCAAAAAACACTTATTATAAAAGTTCAATTTATAATAAAAACAAGAACATATTTGTCACTATCTTTCAAATATATCAAATCTGACTATTTCTATTGATAGTGAAACATACCCTCAGACATGTGTTTTGTTTCAAAAATACATAGTTATATATTCTAATATTTAAGGCCTTTTTCTAGAATAATAATATTTTCTTAAGAGACGTATATACTACAGATATTCATTGGAAACTGCCTCTTTCACATACCGAAGCGCACCCGTGCCGGGTAGTCTATTTGGATGACATCAATTTTATTGCAACGGCCTACGATATCGTTAGAGGATTTCCGAAACGCAAATTATCGCCACCATTACTCGTCATCGAATATTAGTATGTTAAATTTAGATCTTTCTTAGAAGGCCTTCGACATAATTAAATAATCAATATTTTATACTGTTGTCCTTAATCTAGAAGTACATCCTAACACTGAAATAGATGTTTATAAATTTAAGAAGGCCATGGGT